TAGCAAGTTTATAAATTGTTATTGCAAGGATTATGAGCAAACTTTTTATTTGGAGAATGTACAGTGGGAAGTGGTAACCTTAGCCCCCCAGTCTAGAATTTAGGACCAAAAAACCTATTTTAGACAAAAATAAAAAGATATGTGTGTTTTACATAATTATCTAGAATGGTAGGGTGCTCATTGCACACCCCCATACCACAACTCCATAGCAGATAAGTTATTTTGAAGAAATACATGGCTCAGCTCAACTGTTTTCTCTCTAGATCCTATAAACATACCAGCACATAGTGCAGTGTAAGTGAGATGGGGAGTATAGTGGCCCCTTGGAATCTATTGTAATTTGGATCTGGGACTCCCTGTGGATAACAAAATCCACAGATGTTCAAGTCCTATTATATAAAGGGGTGTGGTAAAATGATATCTTTTATATAAAATGGCAAAATTAAGGTTTGCTTTCAGGATTTTTGGTGGGTTTTATTTACAAGCAGTTTATGGTTGAATCTCATGGGTGCTGAATCTGAATACAGAGAGCCAACTGTATAAAATGTGCTTGAAGAAAAGTTGTAGAAGCTCTAACAAGACAAACTATAAAGTCTTTTCTATCTGCTGCATCCCACCGGTGCACAAAACTGGAGCTTAACAGTACAGTACCTCTTTTATCTGGGATGTAGGGATCATTTACACTGTATAATTATTACAGTTTGAGACCGCTTGAACTGCCATGGCACAGCACTATGGAAACATGGGAGGTTTAGTTTTACAAGGTCTTCTCTGCCATAGAGTTCTGGTGCTCCACCCAACTACAACTCCCATTATTCAATAGCATTGAGCCATTGCAGGTAAAGTGATGTCAAACTGCATTGATTCTACAATGCATTCACAAGTGAATAATTTGATTAAGACAGATGGACCTTTTGGTCTGCAAATTCAAGTATGTTGCAGGATGCACATCCACTATATACACAAGGGTCCTCAAACTAAGGCCCAGGGGCCAAATACGGCCCTCCAAGGTCATTTACACAGCCCTCGCTCAGGGTCAACCTAAGTCTGAAATTACTTGAAAGCACACAACAACAACAACAATCCTATCTCATCAGCCAAAAGCAGGCCCACACTTCCCATTGAAATACTGATTCATTTATATTTGTTAAAATTGTTTTTCATTTTAATTATTGTATTATTTTAAAGTGTTTTTTGCACTACAAATAAGATATGTGTAGTGCGCATAGGAATTCATTCTTTTTCCCCCCAAATTATAATCTGGCCCTCCAACAGTTTGAGTGACTGTGACCCGGCCCTCCTTTCAAAAAGTTTGAGGACCCCGATATACACTATAGCCCAGCAGCTTCCCACCTTTATAGAGAAAAGCAAACTAGGTCTCATTTAGAATGGTAATCATGCGTGATTTTTTTTAGTGCTTATAAATCTAAAACATTGACTTATAAATACCAACAGAGTCATCTTGGCCCTCAGTTTGGAAACGTCTGCCCCTGGACTGACTTCAAAGACAGCCGCTAGCCATACCGTAGCTTGGAGGGAAGATGGCTGGTTTGGATCACCTTTCAAATAGCATGGTTCACAACCTTTGATCTTCAGGTTTTGGGACTTCTACTCCCAGAAGTCCTAGCCAGTTCAACCAAATGTCAGGGATTCTGGGAACTGTATTCCAAAACAACTGGAGGACCAAAGCTTGGGATGTGCTGGCATACTTGAACAAGTTGTTTTCAATTACACTTACGTAACAGAATTTGAAAAAAAATTCCTGTTGTTTTTCCTCCATGCGACTGTCACCCAGTATGGCGTCATCAATAATCCAAACTTTTTTCTTTTCCACAATCATGATGTCTGGCGTATTGTGTTCCAAAACTTTGTCAGTCTGGATTCGAAAGTCCCACAGTATTTTTGCATGTTCATTTTCCACTACCTTTGCAGGTTTGTGATCCCACCAATTCTTTACTGCTGGCAGGTGGTACTTGTGACATAAGTTCCAGTGAATCATTTGGGCCACAGAGTTGCGCCTTTGTTTGTAGTCCATCTGTGCGATTTTCTTACAACAGCTGAGAATATGATCCATGGTTTCATCACCTTCCTTGCACAGTCTGCATTTTGGGTCATCAGCCAATTTTTCGATCCTGGCCTTAATGGCATTGATTCTGATGGCTTGCTCCTGGGCTGCAAGAATCAGGCCTTCTGTCTCCTTCTTCAGGGCTCCATTCGTGAGCCATAACCAAGTCTTCTTGTCAACTTTTCCTTCAATTTTGTCAAGGAACTGCCCATGTAAGGCTTTGTTGTGCCAGCTGTCAGCTCTGGTTTGGAGTGCAGTTTTCTTGTAATGACTCTTTGTCTGCTGTGCTTTGAGAAATTTCCGATTATTGACTTCAATTAAAGCAGGTTCTTGGCTTTCCTTGACATATTCTGCCAGGGCATGTTTTTCTTCTTCGACTCTTGTTTTACTTCAGATGTCCTCAAACTAAGACCCAGGGGCCGGATACGGCCAAGGTCATTTACTCGGCCCTCACTCAGGGTCAACCTAAGTCTGAAACGACTTGAAAACACACAACAACAACAATCCTATCTCATCAGCCAAAAGCAGGCCCACACTTCCCAGTTTATATTTGTTAAAATTGTTCTTCATTTTAATTATTGTATTGTTTTCAGTGTTTTTTGCACTACAAATAAGATATGTGCAGTGTGCATAGGAATTCATTCATTTTGTTTTTCAAATTATAATCCGGCCCACAGTTTGAGGGACTGTGACCTGGCCCTCTGTTTAAAAAGTTTGAGGACCCCTTTATTAGCTGGTCCTGATTATTATTATTATATTTGAAACACAACAAGATGAGTCCACAGCAAACAAGATCACTCTGCTGGCTGTTGAATTGGATCACACGTTGGACACTTCCTAAGTGTCTAGGACTGTGTGATGTATCGGCGAATAATGCGTGCAGATCCCAGTAAGGTGGCCTTCTGCAGCTGGCAGATAGTAATTTTGTCAGCGCCGATTGTGTTTAAGTGCAGGCCAAGGTCTTTAGGCACTGCACCCAGTGTGCCGATCACCACTGGGACCACTTTTACTGGTTTGTGCCACAGTCTTTGCAGTTCGATCTTTAAATTCTCATATCGTATCAGCTTTTCCAGTTCTTTTTCTGCAATCCTACTGTCACCTGGGATTGCAACATCGACAATTCATACTTTGTTTTTTAAAATGATTGTGAGGTCAGGAGTATGCTCCAAAACTCTGTCTGTCTGAATCCGGAAGTCCCAGAGGAGTTTGGCATGTTCAACTCTGTCACTCCTTTCCACCTACTACTAAGGAGGCTGTTCAGGTCCTGAACCGGTGTTTGGCTGCTGTGTCGGACTGGATGAGAGCTAACAAATTGAAATTGAATCCAGACAAGACAGAGGTCCTACTGGTCAGTCGTAAGGCCAAACAGGGCATAGGGTTACAGCCTGTGTTAGACGGGGTTACACTCCCCCTGAAGACGCAGGTTCGCAGCTTGGGAGTGATCCTGGACTCATCGCTGAGCCTGGAACCCCAGGTTTCGGCGGTGACCAGGGGAGCATTTGCACAATTAAAACTTGTGCGCCAGCTGCGCCCGTACCTTGGGAAGTCTGACTTGGCCACGGTAGTCCACGCTCTGGTTACATCCCGTATAGATTACTGCAATGCGCTCTACGTGGGGTTGCCTTTGAAGACGGCCTGGAAGCTTCAAATGGTCCAGTGTGTGGCAGCCAGGTTGCTAACAGGAGTGGGCCTAGGGAGCATACAACTCCTCTGTTGAATCAGCTCCACCGGCTGCCAGTCTGCTACCGGGCTCAATTCAAAGTGCTGGCTTTAGCCTATAAAGCCCTAAACGGTTCTGGCCCAATATATCTATCTGAACGCATCTCTCCCTATGAACCCCCCAGGAACTTAAGATCATCTGGAGAGGCCCTGCTCTCGTTCCCGCCTGCTTTGCAGGCACATATGGCAGGGACGAGAGACAGGGCCTTCTCTGCGGTGGCTCCCCGGCTGTGGAACTCCCTCCCTAGGGATATTAGATCAGCCCCCTCCCTCCTGACTTTCCGAAAAAGAGTAAAAACTTGGCTCTTCGAGCAAGCATTCGGAACCCCAGTAAACAGACAAACTAGAGTTGGAAATTGACCCAGGAACGGCCAAGACAATGTAACGGATGAAGATTTGAACGAGAGGACATAGTTTCTTTTCAAATTGTTTATTATGCACTGTTGTTTATGTTTAATTTGCACTTGATGTTTTTGCTTTATTGTATGTATTTTGTTTCGGCATCGAATTGTGCCGACTGTGTATACCGCCCTGAGTCACCTTCGGGCTGAAATGGGCGGGATAGAAATAATGTAAATAAATAAATAAATATTTTTCCGGTTTGTGAGCCCACCAGTTCTTTGTCGCAGGCAGATGGTATTTGTGGCACAAGTTCCAATGAATCATCTGAGCAACGGTGTTATGCCTCTGCTTGTAGTCTGTTATTATTATTATTATTATTTGCAACATTCACACTTGCCTCAAGCAGACAAGAGTTCTTTCTCCCACCCTGGACATTCCACAGATATATAAGCCCCACTCGCCTCGTTTCCAACAGACCTCACAACCTCTGAGGATGCCTGCCATAGATGTGGGAGAAACGTCAGGAGAGAATGCTTCTGGAACATGGTCATACCGCTCAAAAAACTCACAGTAACCCAACGATTCCGGTCATGAAAGCCTTCGACAACGCACTCAATGACCTCTTTTGTTTTATGGGACCTGCACTGATAAAATAATAATAAAAGAAATACAAGTTAGAAGCCTGCATCACTCTAAAATATAAATCAATTTACTGTTGCCTGGCTGCACTCAGCGAGTAAGGTCTCTGTCCGTTGTGTGAGCGATGAGAGAGGCAGAAGACTCGTGACAGCACAGGACTTTCCTCCGTCGCGGATCTTTGACGTCAGGGGCAGATTCCGCAGCCGCTGCCATGGCAACCGGCTTTCCAAGATGGCGGCCGGGCGCGCTCGGCAGTGACGTGTCCAGCGGGCGTTAGTGACGTGCCCCGCTGCTTTGGCTCGGAGGGGGAAGCGAAGGAGTGCGGAAGGGAAGGTGAGTGACAGGTCCGGCTGTTCCCTCTTTACAGAGCCTCTGGCCCAGTTCTCTCCCTCATGAACCCCCTCTCAGGCCAGGCTCCATGACAAGGCCCTGATATCAATCTCCCCAACCCTTTGCTCTGAATCCCTTTCTAGGATACCTTTCACTCTCATTTCCACGCTTCCCCCCTTTCTATTCGTTCCCAGCCTGATAAATAGTGAGCTTTGAGGCCCGTTCTTGGCCTGCTTTGGAAACCTATCCCTTGCCATTGCCATTCCCTTGTTTGTTTATATGTTTGCATGTTATTGGCTCTGCCTCTTCCCGACCCTGCCTCTTTGGTGTGATGTTAGAAGCCCTTGGATATGTTTTCCCTTCATGGCTTCCATCTAGAGAACTTCAGCCTTGTCTCTGGGATCTAAAAAAAAGTCAGAATGACTACACTGTAGATTTAATGCAGTTTGATACCACTTTCAACTGCGATGGACTCCTGGGAGTTGTTGTTTTGTAAGTTTTTTTAGCCTTTTCACCTTAGGGTTGTTGTAGGTTTTTTTGGGCTATATGCCCCATCCCCCTCCAAATACCTACCTTTGTCACCTGGTCATGCCCAGCACATTTTTTAATTTTAACTGTTACCTTTGGCCCTGCCATAGATTTTAATGCGTTGTGGTGTGTTGTCAATGTTTATTGCTTTGTTTTGAGTTCATTTTGTTGTATTGTTGTTGTTGTTTTTACTGATGTATTTGGGCTCGGCCTCTTGTAAGCCGCACCGAGTCCTCTGGGAGATGGTAGCGGAGTATAAATAAAGGTTTATTATTATTATTATTATTCTCTCCTGACGTTTCGCCTGCATCTATGGCAAGCATCCTCAGAGGTAGTGAGTCTGTTGAAACTACAAAAAAGGGTCTAGACATAGTTTTTTAAGATCTAGACATAGTTTTTAAAATCTACAGAGACACTCCCTGGAATACCTCAGCAAGCGAGAGTCCAAAAGTGGCAGGCTCAAACCCAGAACCTCAATCAATGGCTGATACCAAATGAGAGACTCCCCCTGGGCACACAGAGGACTGGGCGACTTGGAAGGCGCTGAACAGACTGCGCTCTGGCACCACAAGATGCAGAGCCAACCTTCAGAAATGGGGCTACAAAGTGGAATCCTCGACATGCGAATGTGGAGAGGAGCAAACCACTGACCACCTGCTGCAATGCAACCTGAGCCCTGCCACATGCACAATGGAGGACCTTCTTGCAGCAACACCAGAAGCACTCCAAGTGGCCAGATACTGGTCAAAGGACATTTAATCAACTACCAAACTCACAAAATTTGTATTTTGTCTGTTTGTTTGCTTTGTTCTGTTAGAAATGTAATATAATTGACTGGTTGCCCTGACACGACAAATAAATAAATAAATAAATAAATAAATAAATACCAGGGTGGGACAAAGAACTCTTGTCTGTTGGAGCTACATGTGAATGTTTCAACTGACCACCTTGATTCCTATCAACATTCACACTTAGCTCCAACAGACAAGAGTCCTGTGTCCCACCCTGGTCATTCCACAGATATATAAACCCTTTTTCCTAGTTCCAACAAACCTCACTACCTCTGAGGATGCTTGTCATAGATGCAGGCGAAACATCAGGAGAGAATGCCTCTAGAACATGGCCATATAGCCCGAAAAAAACCTACAACAACCCAGCGATTCCAGCTATGAAAGCCTTTGACAGTACTTTTCACCTTTGCTAAACTACAACTCCCATGATCCCACAGCATTGAGGGAACTCCTTCCACAAACCTGCCCGATCTCTTCGATCTTTGGGGAAGGGCCCTCCTTTCGCCCCTCACAGGCCCAATTTGTGGGAACGTGGGAGAGAGCCTTCTCCACCGTGGGCCCCCTAACTCAGGAACTCATTGCCTGGTGAGATTAGACAAGCCCCCACCTTAGGAGCCGTCGTGACCGTATCTCCCTCCATGAACCAGCGCGAGTTTTGCGATCTTTGGGGGAGGGCCTCCTTTCGCCCTTACCAGTATCACAGGCTCGTCTTGTGGGTGTCGTTTTGTAAGTTTTTTTTAGCCTCTTCAGCTTTGCCAAACTACAACTTCCATGTTCCCACAGCATTGAGGGATCTCCTTCCACAAACCCGTCCGATCTCTTTGATCTTTGGGGAAGGGCCTCCTTTCACCCCTGCCTTTATCACAGGCCCGACTTGTGGGAATGAGGGAGAGAGCCTTCTTCATCGTGGCCCCCTAATTCTGGAACTCATTGCCTGCTGAGATTAAACAAGCCCCCACCTTAGCAGCCTTCGTGACCGTATCTTCCTCCATAAACCAGCCCGAGTTTTGTGGTCTTCGGGGGAGGCCCTCCTTTCGCCCTTGCCAGTATCACAGGATCATCTTGTGGGTACAAGGGAGAGAGCTTTCTCCTCTGTGGCCCCCCAACTCTGGAATTCACTGCCCGGAGAGATTAGGAAAGTCCCCACCTTAGAAACCTTTAAAAAGAATCTCAAAACTTGGCTTTTCCGTTGTACCTTCGGAGAGTAGCCACACAACCTCACACTATTGCTCCCCTCAACACTTTTGCCTTGGAGTACATTTCCCCCCTTGTATGAAGGCCTGTTTTTACAACCCCGTTTTTTTATGAGCTCTCTCTCACAAATAATCTGCTCCTTTGTTTATCTCACCCTGACTTGTAACATTTTATCTTGCACATGCGGCCCGCTCATTGTCATTGTGATTGTTCATTGCATTTATATGTTTTATGTTTATTGCTTATTGTATTAATATGTTTTATGTATTTTACTGTGTTGTTGTTGCGTTTTGGTTTTTTATTTTATTGTAATTCTGCTGTTTGGGCTTGGCCTCATGTAAGCCGCCCCGAGTCCCCATTGGCGGAGATGGTGGTGGGGTATAAATAAAGATTATTATTATTATTATTATTATTATTATTAAAGAAAGATCTGAAAACTTGGCTTTTCCGTTGCGCCTTTGGAGAGTGATATGATATTCCCTTTGTTGTTCCTCCCATAAGGTTGGTACTCATATTGCACTTTATATTGTACTTCCCCCTCCCTGTTTGAAGGCCTGTCTCCACTATTCCGTCTCCTACTTCTCTTTCATTTCTATCTCATCCTGAGTTTTATCATTTTAACTTGCACATGTGGCCCGCCTTTGGGATTGATTTTATATTGTATTTAGTTTGTGCTCTTTTTATTATATTCTTATGTTTTTATTGATTTCATTGTATTGTGGATATTGTTGTCTTGGTTTTGTTTTACTGTACTGTACTGTTGGGCTTGGACTCATGTAAGCTGCCCGAGTCCCCTTTGGGGAGATGGTGGCGGGGTATAAATAAAGATTATTATTATTATTATTATTATTATTATTATTATTATTGAGCCCTGGTAGTTAAAGCGGTGTCAAGTTCAACAGTGTAGATCAGGCATAGGCAAACTTGGGCCCTCCAGGGGTTTTGGACTTCAACTCCCACAATTCCTAACAGCCGGTAGGCTGTTAGGAATTGTGGGCGTTGAAGTCCAAAACCCCTGGAGGGCCCAAGTTTGCCCATGCCTAGTGTAGATGCAGTCACAAGTCCTTCCTACGCTACCATATAAAATCCAGATTATCTGCTTTGAACTGGATTATGTCACAATGTAGACTCCAGTTCAAAGAAGATAATGTAGATTTATCTGCTTTGATCATCTGGATTATATGGCAATGTAGAAAGGGCCTCAGAGAGAGATATAACCATAATAGACGGATGTGGCTCTTAATGAGACATGCCGCATTATCACAGGATTTCTACACCCTGGATCGCTGGAAAAATACGGTGTAGCTGGTATTGCACAACCTGATATCCGTTGGGAAGTAGCAGCCATAATGAAATGACCAAGGCATTGACATCACTTGCCCATCCTCTGTTCAGATATCAGCCAGCATGCCAATGTCTTAGATCAAGAAATAGCTCCCTAAGGTCTGCAGAGGTACTCACAGTAACACCTCAGCAAGCGAGAGTCCAAAAGTGGCAGGCTAAAACCCAGAACCCCAATCAATGTCTGAGACTGGATGGGAAACTTCCTCCTGGGCATACAGAAGACTGGGCAACTTAGAAGGCACTGAACGGGCTGTACTGTAGTACCTTGAGGTGCAGAGCCAATCTTAAGAAATGGGATTATAAAGTGGAGTCCATTACATGCGAGTTTGGAGAAGAGCAAACCACAGACCACTTACTACAATGCAGTCTGAGTCCTGCCATGTGCACAATGGAGGACATTCTTACATTAACACCTGAGGTGCTCAATGTGACCAGCTTATGGTCAAAGGGAATTTAGTAGAATGCCAAGTTTTTAACTTCGTGTTTTTTTATACATTATAACTATATTCTCAGTTAACTTCTGGCACGAGAAATAAAAATAGTAAGGTCTAAAAGAAGAGGAAGTACACACTGAGTATCCCTTATCAAAGTACTTGAGATCATAAATGTTTTTGATTTTGTGGGGGGGGGGTTGGATTTAGGAGCACATAATTTTTTTTTGTCGAGTCAGGAGTGACCTGAGAAACTGCAAGTCGCTTCTGGTGTGAGAGAATTGGCCGTCTGCAAGGACGTTGCCTAGGGGACGCCCGATGATTTGATGTTTTTATCATCCTTGTGGGAGGCTTCTCTCATGTCCCCGCATGAGGAGCTGGAGCTGATAGAGCGAGCTCATCTGCCTCTCCCCGGATTCGAACCTGCGACCTGTTCATCTTCAATCCTGCCGGCACAGAGGTTTTAACCACTGTGCCACCGGGGGCTCCAATAATAATAATAATAATAATAATAATAATAATAATAATAATAATATAATAATATAATAATAATAATAATAATATAATAATATAATAATAATATAATAATAATAATAATAACAACAACCACCACCACAACCTGACTCTTCTCATGATCTATTTTGGAGATTAAATCCAATGCTAAACACATAGTTCATTTATGTTTCTTATACACACAACCTGAAGGAAATTTAGTGCAAAATATCTTTAGTAATTTTGTATATGCAGCACACTGCGTATACATTGAATCAGAAAGTAAAGGTGTCCTTATCTCAGCCACTCAAGGGAACAATTATGGAGTTTGATGTGTTTCAGATTTTAGATAAAGGATGCTCAAAGGTGGACAGTTTGCTGTTCTCTTGATGCTGTTGGACTTCAGATCCCATGAGGTTTATAAGCCACTGGAGTCAATGGTGAGGAGGATGGCAGTTTCAGTCCAGCTATATTTTTCAGGTCTGAAAGTTGAGCTCCCTAGAAGGACGATCTAGATTTCAATACTTATTGATGCCACTTTCTGAAAGATATTTCTTATTGGGTTTACAGCGACATGAGAATATATTAACTAGAGTGAGAAACAAATTGAGGACAGTTATCTTGCGGTGCTGGTAGCAGAAAGAGAAAAAAGGAGAAATTGAGACAACAGGTTCAGAGAAGAGTAGAATTTGGCTATAACAGACAAAGAGATTTTCATAAAACCATAGAACTGGAAGAGATCAAAAAGACCATCCTGTCCAATTCTCAGATGCATCTACACTGTGGAATTAATGCCATTTGACACCACTTTAACTGCCATGGTTCAAAACTATGGAATCATAGAAGAATGTCTGTAGCCTTCATTGCCCAAAAATGCTGGTCCCTCAACAAACTACACACCCCACAAATCCACAACATTGAACCATGAAAGCTCAAATGGGGTCAAACTTCATTAATTCTATAGTGTAGATACACCCTGTCATTCTTAACGTTAAAATTTATTTTAATGACTCCTTTTAAAAGAGCTGTTGGGAATCTAGGGCAGACAAACCATCTGTAGATCATTCATAGTAGACCGAAGGTAGAGGAGAAAACCTGTTAGATGGGATGGTAAGACATCCATATAATGGCCATGCTAATGGCATTCCTAGATAATTGTTTCTTGCTATTTTTCTTGTTGGGTCTGAAGAAAATATGTGCCTTAACTATCTTTTCCCATCTCTCATGTAGCTAATTCCTGTAAGCCATTACAGTAAGACTTGTATTTGCAAGGGATTTGTTCAGGGCTGGGTCACAGTTACCTGAAACTAGCAATTTAAATTGGACTGAAAGGTTATAGAAAATCGTAACAAATTCCAGAGTAGCAATGTTCCGGCTCCGGTAATTTGCCTACCTTATATATTTCCACAGAGAAATTCTGTTTTATCACAGATTGATTGTTCAAGTGGATACTTCTTTTATTCTGGAAGAAATTGTACTATTTATATAACTCACAATATTAATGAGTTATTTTTGTTTCTGTCTGGACAGGGAGGCTGATGCGGCAAGAGGATGTAATTTGTCGTAGGCTACAGTCAAGTGGTCAGACTAGAGCCTCGTTACATTCCAGATCTGCTGCTACAAATATCAGAACTCAATCTCCCTCGGTAGGTATGAAAAAACAAAGCTGTTTTCTGCAAGAATTCATTTATAGGATTAGTCATACTTGATTTCTCACCTCTTACAGTATGCAAAGAGAGAGAGATAGATAGATAAAAGAATTGGTTTACGAAGAATTGCAAGGCTATACTCTGTTATATGTAGTAGAGTTGTACCTAAAATTTCAAACTTGCAGGATTATATGTGTATTTCGAGCGAGAGTTCATTTTGTTGATATGTAAACACAGTATGCATTTTTTTTTGTACAACTATATCAGCAATATACCTGATGAGTTTTGTAGGTTTTTCCGGGCTATATGGCCATGTTCTAGAGGCATTTTCTCCTGACGTTTCGCCTGCATCTATGGCAAACATCCTCAGAGGTAGTGAGGTCTGTTGGAAGTAGGAAAATGGGTTTATATATCTGTGGAATGACCAG